GATGGATAGATTTTGCCAATCCCAACTTGAAAACCTGCGTTTGTAAACGTCTCTCGAGAAAATCTTCTACGCGAAGACCGAGGATGTAATCGAGCTTCATTCGGTCCTCAGGAAGCACTCCAATACGCACAAGACGGCGAAGAAGAGCGTTTCCTTCGAAAAGTCGTTTGGGATCCTTTTCTTCCAATGTGAGCAACTCTCGAGCTGCCTTGCGCACCTTTGCCAGTGTGTACTTTACGCGCCAAACTTCACGCTTGTTCTTCAAACCAAACTCTCCAATGAGTTTCAGCTCCTGAACAATTTCTGTAAGATGTATATCAGCGACAGCAAAATTTTTTCAGGCATGCCCTCAAAAATGGGATATTTCGTAAGGCATGGATTATACGTTGGAAGGTGTCTGCAAAAAATGTTTTCTCTAAGCTTTTCAGTGATAGCCAGAAGAATCTGCGCCTTATCATCGTTTCCGAGTAAATTCAAAACTTTTTTGACGCTGGAAATCGAAAAATTTTCAATACTGCACAAAGGACCTTTAAAGATCACAGAGACAATCGCGTAATTTGTCTAAGGAGTGCATTATTTATGAGCATGTTTGGATGCCTATCGGATCTCCAAAAATTTTGATGGGATTTCTTTTGCTTCACTCAGAGCATGCAAGAATAAAACAAAAACCGGGACTCGGTACTATTCCACGTAACGAGCCCCAAAACTCAGAACCACTGATTTCGCCGGAACTTGGCCCAAAGGGTTATTTGGCCCGCTGATGCCGAATATCATATTTATTTGGTACGGCAAAGCGCCATTTTTTGAGGTCACAGTGGGTGGTAGGGGGTCAAAATCACGGATTTCGCTAAAACGTGGCCTAGGAAGTTATTCGACATGCTGATCACGAATGTCATACTTTCCTTGCGTTTTAGGACCTTTTGGCGGCGTTACGGTATGTACATGGTATGGAGTCAAATTCGTAGACCTTCTTGAAAATTTGTGCAGGGAAATTATTTGACTTGCAGATTATGATTATAGTGCCCATTCCGCATGGTAAAGCCGTGATCTAAATTGGACCGAAATGCGAAAAAAAGGCTCCATAGGCTGCAAATGACCGTAACGCCGCAATAAGGCGTTATTGCAGCGAGTAAGCATAATATTCGTTCAGCACGCATAAAAAACCCTTCTAGGTAAAGTTTTGAGCAAATTCGTGGTTTTAGCCCCGCACCGACCTACCGTAACTCCTTGAAAATGTCGCTTGATGCAAAAAAAAGATGATATTTGTCATCAGCACGTCGATTTGCGCCCCCGGGCCAAGTTTCAGCGAGATCCATGATCTTGACCCCTACCGTATATCCACCGTAACCCCAGAAATGGCGCTACCGTACCAGATAATATGAAATTCGACATCAGCGGGTCGAATAACCTCCTGGGCCAAGTTTCGGCAAAATCCTTGATTTTGAGTTTTTGGGGCCCATTAAATGGAATCGCGCCTATTATATCAGCATACGAATACCACTAAGAATATGGGACTATGGCAAAATGAAAGCTTCTCTGAGAAGATTTGCAATTCGTGCCTAACACATGTGAGATGATGTTACCTGGTCAAGACGCTCCTTCTCGAAAGGACGACGTGGAGCCTTTGTAACCTTCGAATGCACAGTCTTGATCCGAGGCATGGTTGACCCTACAAAAAAGCAACAACATATGAAGAACTTACAACATAACTAGAATCATTCTACGAAACGAATAGGAATAAACACGAGGAGCTGACGAATCACATGGATAAACATAAACTTTGACAATCTCAGTTATGTTAAGCATGGCAGCGCAAGAGATAAAACTTTGTTAGTGGTGTTTCAAGTGCCAAGGGTTCTGATCAAGTATTCGCAAGCATATAACAACAAATGCTTATGCAGCGAACTTGGGGTCTCACAAGATGTAAATCTGGAAAGTAGATACGCCGTAGAAGCTGCCTAGATTGATTGCGAATATCACACCGAGTTCGTACGGTTCATTCTCCATCGCGGAAGAAGAGGTTGGGCTTGCTACCGCTTTTACTTAAAACATTCGATGCACAACCAGCCAGGCAAACTTTTGGATAGTACCAAGTTTCATCAATCTATCGTACACACACTGTCCCAGGAAACGGTGCTAGGAACAAAATATACGTGTCTCCCAAAAAATGTGCACACTGTTTGATCGCTAATAATCTTGCTTCGATGTCTTTCGCCGATCTTTAGGCATCATTCTGTAGAACTCGCTTCAACTTATGGTTAGATTTACAGCATTGAGCGAAACTCCGACGTGTGAACGTTTAGCATGCAGCGCCATTATGGATTAGTTGATGAAAAAATTCCAAAAAATGTAGAAAATTGTGTAGTACGGTTTTCACGTCTGCTGATTTCATTCAGCAAGTATTCACACGGTTTCTGGTCTTCTGGAGGTGTAATGACATTTTTGGAGTACTGAAAGGGCAGTTTATACTGCTATCGTGAATAACTCATGAAGTAATCACGAAAGTGCTATGCAAATTTCATATCTGAAATCAGCAACTCTGATCAGCCTAGTATGAAAACTTGGTACTATTCCAGTACACCGACCCCAAAAATTGAAAT